CGAATTTAACATTTGTTGGTGTACAATTGAAAGCTTTGAACGCACAGACGTTTTTTGGTTTGGCAACTGTGAAAATTTCAAACTATCAATGTGCTTAAGAAGGACACTCTGCCTTTGAAGCCAATCATTTTTGCAACCAATGGCAGCGAGTCTCAACTTAGTTTTGCACAAACAGAGGAATCATGTGTCCAACACAATATATGATCCCACTGAGTGGTTGGGTGGTACCAGCACCACCGCCTACAGTAAACTGTTGTATGTCGACTTGAGTGGCACGAATTTTAACGATAAACTTAACGGTAATACATTTGCAAAACTCTCAGCTGTGCAAGAACTTCGGCTGGTCAATTGCAGTTTGAGCACAATCGCCGAAAAAGTATTCAATGGCATTTTGTCGACACTAAAATCGCTCGATTTGCGATATAACCAATTACAAACGTTGGACGGTGAATTTCTAGCCACTGCTATTACTAAGGGAATTAGTATAGAGTTAGGGTGGAATATGTGGAGATGCGATTGTGACAATATGGAAATAATTGAAGGCATGAAGCAAGTAGAAAATAATTTCGCAGCAGATACAGTATGTGCAACGCCAACAGAATTGGCAGGCATACAAATCAGTTCGTCACAAATAAGCTGTTATAGTGAGCAATTCATATAATATAAAAAAAGTAGTAAATAAAAAATTTGTCGATCCTTTCAGACAAAACACAACTTACAACAGTTATAACAACCGTAATGTCCATAGCAGCGACTACAACTACAACTAAAACTTTTACCGACGAAACCACATTAGCAACCACTGAGTCTACACCAACAACTTCTACGACTATCACCGACAACTCAACCTTAATGACTTCAGCTACAATGACAGGAACAGATGTAAGTCAAAGCAGTGGTAAGTATCATATCGATTTATTACACTATAACTAACAGCATCTAAGGGATGATATGGCTAAGATATTCAGACAGTTTTGCTAGCGTATGATTTTTGTCAGTATATCTAAACATACAAAGGTTCGATTTGCTATCGGTTAACCTTGAAGTATAATTTTTATACGATTGCAACATGTTGGTACAGAGTAGGGTAGAGCGAAAAAAATATGTTTTTTGCCTAGCCTGAGGGTAAAATTTGTAGGTTATAAAAAAGAAAAATTTTTGTAAAAAAATATACATTTTTTTTAACATCTAGAGGCTCACTTTTAAATAAAATTTCGAGTTCCGGTTGACTTTAAACTGTATACATTAGTCAATATCTAAGATATCGTAGCAAAATATTGGACATACCCTATTGTCGTTTAGTAGAGAATGAAATAAATATATTGCATTAAATGTTAACAATTTTTCAGATTCAACTTTAGTCTCAAGAGTAGATAAAACGATTTCTGCAACAACACCCAAAGCTACTAACATTATAAGTACATCAATAGCAAGAACTAGTACAACTGTCACACCACCTGCATCACTAATGACCTCCACGATTGAAGACGAGTCAACCAAAGAAAGATTAGAACCCTTATCGACAACTACACCACAACTAATCGACACAACAAACGACAATACAACCTTAATATTTTTTCTGGGAACAACAACAATACCAATTTACAATACGGAAACAACAAAGGGAACTGAAAATACAACGATTAGTTTTCCCTGTAAGTACAAGTATTTGATGATTTTAGAAACTTATTAGTTCTTATTAGACTTAAACGTGTGTATTTCAATTAATATCTGTATGAATCTAATCTATTTCATCTATTTTTTATTTCTCATACTTATTTATGTTAAATCGCAAAGATACGACCGTGATCTCTAGCAGTATGGCTACAATTAAACCACCAATGAAGACTTGCTTTGAAAATAAAGACCCAAAGTATTTAACTTGCAGCAGTACCACAGCCGTTAAGATTTGCGACTATGACGTTACTTTCAATGTGGTTCCGATATCATCGCGAAGTGTACAACTGCAAATCGGTAGCGGTGCACATAGTTTACAAGTGATCTATTTTCAGGTGTTGAACAACAGTTTAAATAAGGAGGTCGAGATCGACAATAATAGCAAAATCGTTGTCGATAATTTAGCGCCAAATAGAAGTTATACCTTCTGTCTCATACCAAAGAATCAAACGTGTACCTCACCATTTAATTGCCGTTCAGCGCACTTGCCACAAGCTCCAGCATGGTTGAAGTATAACGATGTTGCGCTTTTTTGCACGATCGCCATACTCGTAACTATTGTTTGCGCAATTTTAGGGGTGGCAGCAATATATTTTCTACTCCGTTGGCGGCCAACTTTATTGTATGGCAATAAACGTTTGCATCGTATTGCTTCCACAACGCACAAAGTGCTACTATTCCCGAAACCGAATTGCACATCTTTCAAAAGTGAGCTCGCAAAAATGCATTCATCGATTAGTGATTCATTGACACCGGAGAATTATTTGAATATTAACTCATACGATTATATGCAGTACTTCAAAGATATCGAGTTGAAGAAACAACGTAGAGTGGCATACATTTCCGTGAATCAGCCTCCTTTACATCGAGCCCCTGCATTGCCACCAAACGTTGGTGGCGCTGCAACACATTGTTACGATCGTATGAGCTACACCAGTGGTTATATACCAATTCGACAGCCCTCAGAACAATCGACAGTAGTAATGGAAGACATGCCACAACAGCAGCTTATACGTAGGTGTGCAGAGACGAAGTTAACTCCAGAGCCAGAATACGAAAGCTTGGATTATTATCAAGAGCTTTATTAAAAAGTGTTTGGGTCGAGTTTAAATTTAATAAATATTTAAATATTTTCTTGTTAATTGAAATTATATAATAATAAAGATCATTGCAACAGATAATGTGAAAGTAGCTGTGTCGCATGCATGCTTCATTTAACCATGCCTTCCGTGGTCTCCACTGTTTGGTGTTCGTCTTAACTTTGAAGCAAATTACAGTGCGAATTAAACAGCTAAATAAATTACAATTTGAACATAATTGACATTAAATTTACCAACATTTCCTTCATCGATTAGATGAAACTATTAACTTACGGTATTTGTTTAGTTTAAATATATTATATACAATATGAATAGGACAAAGTTGCAAGGATTGAGATTAGTTTGAAGTAGCTGATTTGGAATTGTGGAAAGATTAAATGTAGCGAAAGATGACAAAAAAGATGGTTAATTAGCTTTGCGAATGCACATCCTTCAGCCGGGTCTTCTAATATAACATAAGTTGGTTTTTATCGTAATCAACGGGTTGTTGAAAGGTATCATTCGACCTAGCCTTTCAACCAACTAATTAACAATGAAAACTTAAGATTTTGCATGTTGCACTGCAATTATCAGAAAATAAAGGAGTGGCTGAATGAATAACAGTCAACTGAAAATTTAAGCAGTAAAGCCGAAAGAATAAATCACCAAGTACGAATAGATCAAAATAACCGATAAAATAAGAACTTTTGTGTGAGACCAAACGAATACGTTGAGATTTGCACTGATTTTAAATTTTTATAAAATTTAGGAAATTATTAAATATTATTAGGAAACTTTGAAAAAACTTTCAGAGTACCGTTTATACTAACAATTAAGTGGGCTGAAAGAGTGAATACCAACATATCATTTCGGTTTCTAAAAGCAGAAATTCTGAGATGGAATTTCATACTCTAAGAGGGAATTTTCATACCTAAAGTACGTACTTTAGATGTCAGCGTATCCATAAACGAGATAAGTTGATATTACATATTTTTTTGGAGTTTCGTTTGCACAGACAACAACTCTTGTAAGACCCTATTTTGCTCGAGTGGTCCGATACATACGCTCCAAATAGAATTCGAATACTATATGGATTGGTGAGGAAATAAATATTATGACGTCATCATAGAGAATTGCACATTCAACAAAAATACCATAGAAATTGCACACTCGATATGATTGTCGATAATGCTTTCAACTACCAATAAGTAAATAAACTGACGAATTTAACATTTATTGGTGTGCAATTGAAAGCTTTGAACGCACAGACGTTTTTTGGTTTGGCAACTGTGCAAAATTTCAAACTATTCAACGTGCTTAATAAGGACACTCTGCCTTTGAAGGCCAATCATTTCTTGCAACCGATGGCAGCGAGTCTCAACAACTTAGTGTTGCAACAAACAGAGGAATCATGTTGTTCCAACACCATATAACCACTGAGTGGTTGGGTGGTACCAGCACCACCGCCTACAGTAAACTGTTGTATGTCGACTTGAGTGGCACGAATTTTAACGATAAACTTAACGGTAATACATTTGCAAAACTATCAGCTGTGCAAGAACTTCGGCTGGTAAATGCAGTTTGCTCGATTTGCGATATAACCACATTACAACGTTGAACGGTGAATTTCTAACCACATGCAAAGAAAGAGTCGCATGGTATGAATGTTGTGGTTCGAGCGAATAGTCCAAATAATTTTCTAAAGGGCTTAATAAAGAAATACCTCTTCTTACATTATAGATTGTAGAATACGTTTTTTTTTCAAATGTTAACTTAGTTTTATTATAATTGATATTGTTACGTATTTTGAGACATTTAACGACCAATAAGGTCAAATATGGTCATTCTAGAACTTAGACCTATATATATATATATATATAAAGTATATATATATATATACTATATTATCACAATTGGTATGTTTCACCTAAGGTTTCGTTGTAATAATCAAGTTAGAGATATAAAGATATATACATATATTGAAAATAATCAGGATGACAAGATGACTAGATTTTTTGATACAGTCAGTAAGTACGTCCCGCATATGAGTCCTTTAATAAGCTTACACATCCAATTACGTTTAAATTTTCACATTATTGATTTTAAACGTTCTATATGCCTTCTTTAGTTATTTGTCTACTGAATCCTACTTATAGTTCATTTAACATACGAATTCTAGAATGTCCTTACTTTCTTTTTTGTCTAATACTCATAATGAGTGACTATTACTTATATAAGCACGCCATGTTAATAAAATGCCAAATTTAATATTCTTTATATGGTTATCAGTTCGATATGAAGGAAACGAATAACAATCACTGATAAAAAAATAACTATTAAACACGCAAAGAAAATATTCATATAGATCGGGTATCAGCTCTGCGCAGATAATTCAAAATATCCCGTGGTTGGTACATAAAAAATATTTAAAATATTGCGAATTTCCTAGTGTTAGTTCGTAAGTTAAACAGTTACGGACGGACTGGACAATGTCATCAGCTGCACAAAAAAATCGCCTGTAACCCTAAAACTGCTCACAAATCAAGAATGAAAGTGAATAAAAAAGTGCCAAAGAGAAGCCGGAGAAAGTGGTAAGTTTGAGGTATGATATGTATACTAATCACTAACACTACTCATATTAATCGCGATTTCCCTTGACGCTGCTCTGAATCCGCAACTTTCTGAGTGAAATAGTTGCATACAGTGGTCCGCCCGGCTCCTTAACACGCCGATTTGGTGCATAATAGGACACCTTTTATGTTGGGATTATGTATGCAAACAAATCGCAATAATATCATGATTCCAATGACCTATGAATTGATTACGGTAATGAGTACACCCTGACGCGAATCGTGGAGAGAACAACAGAGAGAGTTTTAACGAAATATCAGGCCGCTAGCTTAAGCAAATTTCATATCGTCATAATATCCGCAACAGTAAAGCTTGGTATG